TGGTTTCCTGTAATAATGAACTAGAACTTTCTTTATGGTATACATAATGTGTCCTGTTGACCCTGTTTGTCATCTACTGTGTCACAGTTGGCTTGTCACTTCATTCTTCTGTGTCAAGAGTGTCTGTGTAGAAGTGTTCATAAGTCTCGGTACAGCACTAACTTTCAATAACTTGGCTATACACATGACAGAAACAAGTCATGGGCATGAGTACAGTTATCTTGCTTTCATTCAATGGCTGGAGTTTTTTCTATCATTGAATGACATCTGCTATTAAGTATTTACCCATGCTGTCAGCTCTTTCTCCTCCTCCCCCTCTTTGTCATCGTATAGATTCATAGCTTTCATGGGAACTGTGTTCAGTGAAATCTTCTAGGGCAGTCAGTGCTGTCAAGATGTAGTAATAACCAGGGCCCGGATTTTGATGACATGTCATCTTTTCTTGTATCCTATGCGATGCTCTTAAATATATAAATCTCGGATATGAGCTGCTGGTTACAGAAATGTAAATTTTATAGGTAATTTTTTGACATTTTTAGGTTTAAGGTCATTTTTTCATTTTGGGGGTAATTTTTTGGTAAATTTTTGGACTTTTAAGGGTATTTCTTGTCATTTTTGGCCATTTTAGGGAATTTTTCTTCATATGTTTTCTGAAATGTGAATAACATAGAAGCGAAGTGTTCTTTCTTTTCTCCTTTAGGTCATTTTTCTGGATTTTTTCGGTCATTTTATAGGTCATTTTTTTTAATATTTTCAGGTCATGAAAATCCAGGTCCTGCATATTACATTTTTGGGTTGTATTTTCGGTCATTTTTCTGGATTTTTCGGTCATTTTTAAAATATTTTCAGGTCATCAAAATCTGGGCTCTCGTAATAACCATCGTTTGACGGCTTTCTTTGTCCCCATCATCATGGTTTGGTGTGACGAGTGTCCCCCAATGGTGTGCTGTGGTATAGCCAAGAACATGCTGTGTGGTATTAATACAAAATATGACTGCAACATTCATCACATCATTACCCTTGATAATGAAGACAGGGGCAGTCTCCAAATATTGGATACCAACTCCGTACTAACATGACTAATCCTTTTTAGCCTACTTCCCTTATTTTGAAAAAAGAAAATGGGGGTTATGAGATCACCTTGCTGTCTGTGTGTCTGTTTATTTGTATATACGTTTTAAATTAAGACTTTCATGTGTGGGATTTGAGGTTATCACTTTGCTTGCTGCGTGCTTTGTGCTTATTTCATGCTTGGCTTATTTTTTGAACTTGAAGATAGAGGCAACATGTTTATCTAAAACTTCAGTTGACTTCTAACAGGCTACACAGCATTATATCTGAAAAGACAGAACTCTTCAAGACTTCAGTATGTATTACTGTCCTAGGAGGGGCAGGGCTTGATCTGATACTGAATGCCCACAAGAATTCATTAGCTCCATAATGAAGCCATTAAGAAGCAACTGTCCTTCAGATACAACATACCAGGGCACAGTCATTATCCTATATGTTAAGGGTATCTCCAAGAATTTCAGATGCATTGGAAACCGTTTCAATATGAGAATCATTTTCAAAACTATATATACACTCTGTTGGACATTAGTGAAAACTGGATAAGAGATCCCCAGCAGATGAAGCAGTATGTGTACAATGGAGATAGAATCCAGTCTCCAAAATGTTATATTTTAAATTAAAAAAAAATAGGACAGTGGATAATGTCCAAAAACACAATAATTGTGAAAGTTTTAGGGCTTTGTGACTATTTTTTTCTTGCATTCGTCAGTTTCGTTTCTGATGAACTGCTCTTAAGAAAATCAGTGCAGTATGATTCAAGCTTTATGTAAAGTAGCAGACTTTTTGAAATGTCATTGAGATCCATTCAGTGCTTCTGGAAATATAATGTGCAGATGCATGAATTGATGTAATTCCCCTGTTACATGTCTGTTACATGATCTTTCTACAGAGAGCACATAAAAATTAGACTTTAACCTTACACATTAACTTCTAAAATGTTTCTGTCCCTTTTATGAATCTTTGTGTCATCGGAAAGTGGGAAAGTGAAAACAAGTTCCTGTAACTTAGAAAACACCTGAAATTTGAATAAATAATCTAAATTTTATGTTATTATTGTTTTTTCTGTCTCAACACAACAACTATCAAAATCTCATTCACATTCAATTGTTTCTAATGGTATGACAGTGTGCAACGTGTATACACAATAAATGTGAATGAGATTTTGATAGTTGTTGTTTGAGACAGAAAAGAAAACAGTAACAGGGTGGAAGTTAACACAACAGGATGCACTCCTTAAGAACTGAATTTTGTTAAATATTATGAAAGTAATGATATATCTTACTGAATGAACATAATTTTGTCTTGATCTGTTGGAATGTGTCCATTTTCTGTATTGAGCAGTATTACTGGGAAGCTGAAAGATTGATCAAGTAGCCGAGCCATTGAAATATATATTCAAAAGCCAATCATGAAGAAAGTGTTCTTGTTACCATTGTAACAAAATCATTATAGAGTTTTTTTAAGGTAGAAACACCTGTTTAAAAATTTGTAAATGCAGTTGAACTCCCATTCAATGTGCTTTGATTTAGCATTTTCCCATGTTTAATATTCAGTTTTGTTGATCCCAAGTCAGTAATAAAAAAAAACTCCATGATTTTAGTCTGCAAGCAAACTATACCGACAGCGACTGCTGCTTGTCGGTGAAGTTTAGTGCCAACTTTTGCAGATAGAGGGTGTCGCGTGGTCAGAGCAGCGAATCCCCACGGCCATTAATTTCGGTTTTCTAGACCGGAGCCGCTACTTCCTTGAAATAGCTCCTCAATTATCATCATGAGGCTGAGTGGACCCCGTTCCAGACCCACTACTTCTCTGAAAAAATCTGGTAGCGCCGGGAATCGAACCCGGACCTCTGGATCTGTAGCTAGGAACGCTGACCACTAGTCCACAGAGGCAGTCACTGCAAGTCAGTAATATCAGTGTTAAATTTACTCCGTTTATGATTTTCCTCAGTTTGGTGTCCAAATTTACTGGTCTCCAAAGATGCCTTAAATGGAGTGTTGCTATATTCATTTGAATTTAAATTTATTAAATATATTAAAATGAGTTATCTCAAAATGCCGATAAGATATGTTTTGGCGCATGAAATATATTGTAAAATGAATGAGAAAAATGTATTATGGGGTATTCTCAGCCTTGCTAAGATCACTCCAGTTTATGATTAGTAACAGATGCAGTATATTTTATTTTTGTATGAAAGTTTAAGAACGATTTATTTTCTCAGTAAAAAAATAAAATTAATTCGTAATGTGACATGATGCCTGAAAGCCGTAATAGTCCATTGCTAGACAATGGCTTGCTAGGCATGTTTCCACAGCAATGGATAGGCTTGTGGAAACCAAAGCGTTGCTATGAAATTGACACACGATTCTATGGAGATGTGGATTCGTGGAGACCAACTTGGTATGGAACATGTTTCCATGTCAACAGACAGGCAACAAACGTTCTCCATGTTTACCAGAGACAATGCAAGTGGCTGTCCAGAAAAGAACGGATTCATTCTTCATTCAACATTATAAGAGAGTTCAGAGTTCAGTGGTTGAGTTGAGTTGAGTTGAGTTGAGAGTTCAGCTGTGGAGTGTTAACCAGCGGATAACAGAAGCTCAAGAAGTGACTGATTCATAAGTCAGAATCACATCAGTCGCAGTAGAAGAGAATACACTCGTAGTCCAATAAGGAATGGAGCGAGTCTTAGGCAGCCATGGATTGTGAGCTGTTATAATTGATTGTAATTAAGAGTGATTGTAAAAGAAGGGGTCAATAAATCGAATCATCTAATCCAGAACCCGTTATTATTAGTCACACAAACCCCTTATACATGACAATGTGTTTATTTTTATACGAGGGGCGACCCAAAAATAACCGAAAACGACCTGTTGCGCGCGCATGCTTTGTAGTTACGAGTTGTGCTGCTAGGTGGTGTTAGCTGGGGGTCTCCCGCGACTGTTAGTGAGCTGGCGTCAGTCTGAGTTAAGTGGTTTGTCTGTGGTGCTCTGTTGTGTGCGTTCCTGTTTCAACCCTTTGGCGATTAGTGAGATGGCCGACAAGAAGGAACAAAGAGTGTGCGTGAAATTCTTGATCGTTCTGCACTTCACTCTTCAAGTCACGGCAAACATTCACGCGGTTTTCTCTTTGGTCATCTCCGAGCAAGCGAGGAACAAATTTTGCAGACACCCGTCTCATGTGCAAACCTTCGGTTAAAATTCGCTGGACCGTGCTCCATGAGATGTTCGTTTCCTCAGAAAGTTGGTCAATGGTCTTTCGACGATCTTCATCAATTTCACGCACACTCTTTGTTCCTTCTGGTCGGCCATCTCACTAATCGCCAAAGGGTTGAAACAGGAACGCACACAACAGAGCACCACAGACAAACCACTTAACTCAGACTGACGCCAGCTCACTAACAGTCGCGGGAGACCCCCAGCTAACACCACCTAGCAGCACAACTCGTAACTACAAAGCATGCACGCGCAACAGGTCGGTTCCGGTTATTTTTGGGTCCCCCTTCGTACATGGTCAGGTGTCAAGTAATCCGGCTTTTTACAATCAATCATTAAATGAAATGTGATGCAATGTAGGTTGGTATATAGGTATCATTATGCTACTTCTGACTTCCACCCTGATGAAGGCAGTAGGTTAATTTTAAATATTAGTAATTACCTACCCAACAGCTTGGCGCCACATCCAAGAAGAGAGAAATCTTCATAATCACCATCATGGAAATCTCATATCCTACACACCTAAGCAATTTAAGTTGCATATTTAATGAAAGGTTTATTTTGTACCTTCAAATGCATCACAGTTTTTCTACCAATTTTGTTCACTGTCTGCAGGGACCATTGCATATCTTCTGGAGTACACTATTTTGCATTGACATAAAGTAAAAGCAGCTATGTTCTTGTCCAAGGAAGAATTTATGATTTGTGTTGCAGGCTCTTCTTCTAGCATGGACATGTCCACTCATGTGTCATCATCGCTGGATTGGTCACAGCCAGTTACTCGAACTGAAGAGTCATTAGAATTGAAATGGGATGATGACGATGATGTTGATGAGAATAAGAGTGACGATGATCACAGCCAGAGACCGCTAGAGATGAAGGCTAATCCAAGCAGCCTAGTGGAACAGTCTAAGGATGGTAAGTGTTTATACACTTCTTAACTGGGGTATGGCAAGTGCAGTTTTAAGTTGGTGTACCGAAATTCCTACCTCTGTAAACTTTAGATTGTGTGAAACTTTCTGTAGATAGGTCTTCATTTGTTTCTTTTTGTTGAGGCTTGGTTACAGTATTGAAAAAAGTTGTGTGGTAAATAAAGGAGGTACTGGTAAGATGTTGTGGAAAAAAATAATTTGGGAATTACTCGTTAACTGAGCAGGTTCAAGAGGTGCCCAGGCATTGAATATCCTGAATAAGTTTATTATGGTTTAATGCAGTCCTCTGTGTGAATCATAGGATAGTACCTTGAAAAAGGCCATGACTGTTTCCTTCCACATCCTTTACAATTCATCATTCATTAATGATTTAAACATTTGATGTTACATAGTCTGAGCTACTGACATTGTTGCTAAATAAATCATGAACAGATGACGTTGAAGAATGAGGCAAACAAGAAACCGTCAGAAGCAGGTGGCAAGTTTAGTAAAATTCCACAGCTCCAGTATTGTGCATACTACCATTCATGAAGTCATAGATTGATTTTGCCTGAAGCTCTTTTTGCTACCTACTTCTGCTGGTTTCTGGCTTAACTTGCTCTTCACCCCTGAAGATGGAAGTTGGAAGTATACCCTTGAAACATCGAACTTTCTCCAAATGAAGCAGCATAACAATCCAGGATACCATACTTCTAAAAAATTTTGGTGGTTTTAATATCTTCAATATTGAATGAAACTGTAATGGCAATTAACACAAATATTAGAATAATTTTGTTCAAATGACATAATTGAATGAAGAGTTACAAAATTGTATTTTATGTGTAAAGTGCCCATTGTAAATTTAAAAGGTCAATTTTCTGATTCATATTGCACATACTTTGAGCAGCAGAAGATGCAGTGGGCTGTGGGGGACAGCTGGACATCATGGCACAACAGCTGAAGTTTGTGGCATGCTTGAAGATTCTCATGGAAGAACTGTCCACACTGGCAACAGGGTTCGAGGTGGATGGAGGGCAGTTGCGTTACCACCTGTATGTGTGGCTGGAAGCACTGAGGCAGCTTTGCAACTACAGCTTTGGTGACATAGAGTCGGTCAATGCTGGTGAGTTCTCATACATTTGATTAGTATGAAAATCAGAAAGCTAGAGGTGTTGATGTTCGTTGTAGACTGTTCTTCCACAACTTCAGAGATGTGCAATTCCATGGTCTCATGCATGTTATTACTTGCTTTATGGTGTCCTGTCTGCCAGTACTTTCAGTAATAACATTCTCCGAGTAAACCCTATCAACTAATATTACTCTATTGCAGGGTGTTTGGGTTTGGCTAGCTATATTATTATTAAGAAAATTATGCTATATCAAGATTTCTTACTATAACAGTGTAAATTTTACAGTATATCATTTAATAAGAAGTGTATTAACAGAATTATCTTCTGTCATTGTCTTCTGCAGTTTTCGTCTGAACCATTTCTGATTCACCCAGCACTGAATGAAATATTTGTATATATTAGTTTTTTATTTAAATTTTATAAAGAAGTGCCAATATTAAATATCACGAAATTATATTAGCAGGATATTGTAATTTATTTAATTCTGTATTTGAAGTTTAAAGTATGATTATGGTTAGAATTTTCCAGTAGGGACTAAAATTAAGTTTCATCTTGGAGGATTAGCAAGTGAATGAAGATCTGTTTGTTTGGATTGAAATTTCTTTATGTACTGAAAAAAGTATACAGTATGTGTTTTATCAGACTTGAAACTCAAACCAAACCCCAGAGGTTTTTAATGGTGAACATATCAGGTAGTTCACACATCCCTACAATGTTCAAAATTTGTTTGTGAGGGGGGAGAGGGGCGAAGAAAAACTTTGTATTGAACTTTCAAGAAATTTACAGATTATTGAAGATATAATCAGTTTTCGTATATTAACCTGATTGAGAATGAGAGTGGTAGGTGATATCTTTATAGCATACCTCCAGGAGAAAACCAGAGGGTCTCTTGTGCTCTGCAGTTTCTGTATATTGTGATAGACATTGGTTGAGTGTTTCTCATGTTAGAGATCCATGTTGTAACACATACTAACTGGGCTGTATGTTTTGCGCATGTTATGTGTGTACTGTAGATGAAGGCATATTGGATACGATGCAGGACTTGCGTGACCACAACACAACACCTACCATGATGATGCGTCCAGGAGAAAAACCCACACTTCATGAGATTCTCATGGCTGAGAAGATGGACTTTGAGGCTAAGGTTCAGCGAGCAGCGAAACGAAAGAAATGGCTAAAAGGTTTGTTGTATACAATGCAGAGGTGCCTTGCAAGCCATAGTAATTAGTGACTGATTGCAGTGGTTCCCATGTGCTTTTGGTCTTGGGTTCCTTTGATATGAATAAATATGTTCGAGGGGGCCAACCCATAAAAAATTACTTAAATCTTATTAAGCTGTCCAGAAAATATTTTCTGAAGAACCATAATGAACTCTGTGAAGGACATTTTCTATAAAACTATGTTTTTAATTTAATGTGGCCTTTTAGGATTGAAGTTAATTCAACATTTTTGTTATTTCCTCATTTTCTGGCAGCCCCTGGAAATAGCTTTACAGCCATCTGGGCACCACAACTTCCTTTTTGGGAAATACTGATTTATTTAATTTAAATATCACAGAGTGGATGGTAAGCTGGTTATGTAAGATTTGAGGCTTTCACGGCGGTGACTATGAAGAAAGCAGTCTTCTGGGATTTGGCACCGTGTATATGTGGTGTTAACCGACGTTTCGGAGGAACGTATCACCTCCATCTTCAGGGTAGAAGAAAAAATATAAGAAATCCGCAAGCGAAGAGACCGTGAGAACTGGTAAAAGCTTTTACTGGTTCTCACGGTCTCTTTGCGTGCGGATTTCTTATATTTTTTCTTCTACCCTGAAGATGGAGGTGATACGTTCCTCCGAAACGTCGGTTAACACCACATATACACGGTGCCAAATCCCAGAAGACTGCTTTCTTCTAGCTGGTTATAGTTTTTACATCATGACTCATGGTTTTGGTGGCCTATGTAAATGTGAAATTCAGAAGGTTTGGGGATATCATAGGTTTCGTTGGGCTCTATCAAGTGTGGACACATCATACCAACTTCCGGATCAATTGAGTATTTATAATAGCATGTGTCTTTCTGCTATGTGGGATTTATAGCAGTTCCAGCATATTTTCACCAGTTTGTGACCATTGTGGGAAGAATGGTGTGGGGATTCTCACCACTTACAATATTACAGAAAGAGTTAATTCCTTAACTCTGTCCATGCTTATGCCTGAGCATGCATAACTTACTGGATTTTAAGTTTTCTGCTTTGTTGTGACAGCTGTAACCATATTAACCCTTCTAACTGTAAAACAATGTAAATAAGAACTAAAGATTTAAGATGATGGTATAGTAATACAGTTACTATGTTTTTGGACGTTATGCATTGTCCTGGGTGTCTGGAGATAAGGACTAACTCTGTCAATTGGGCCCAACTGAGTAGGCTTTTACCTGAAGATAGTGACAAAATCTAATCTTCAAAACGTTGTATTTTAAATAAAAAACAGGACCATGGATAATATTCAAAAACACAATAATTGTAAAACAATGTGTTCTTTATATTTGTTGTGCTGAAAATTAATCACCAGCAAAGAAGTCTTATTATACTCCTTCATGTCAAGAAATTAAATCCCATCTCTTGATTGGAATAGCAGTTGTGGTTAGTGATTAAAATGTTTTCAGCATATGCTGATTTAATGCTTTTCTAACAGCCATGGAATTTATGCAAGCATTTTCTGTTGAAGATTTGTTGAAATTTGATTAGTAGTAGCAGATAAATTTTTTCTTTTCTTAATACTGCATGAATAATTGGTCAATGGTTATGAAGATCTTTGAGGTAATATTTGTCATATTTGTCGTTGGATGTGTAATCTGACAGAAATGTTTATATGAGTGAGAGTCGGTAAATAGGTCACAAATGGGTATAAAACATAAAACACGTGATATTCAAACCTGGAAAGAACATTTATTTCTCGACATATCCTCCGCCGACATTGTTATGCTTGTCCCATCGCTTAACAGTGCGTTGAAACCCCCAGCATAGAAGTCTTTTGACTGTTGTCTCTGCCACTTTCACACCTCCATTTCAACCTCTTCCTCATCACTGAAACATTTGCCATCAAGGTGGCTTTTAGTGGACCAAACAGATGGAGTCACTAGGGACCAAGTCCAGGGCCGTAAGGCAGATGTTCAAGAAGTTCCCACTGCATTTCTTGAATTCTATCCTGAGTTGCTCGGGCTGTATGGGGACTGTCATTGTCATGTTGAAGCAGAACCTCTCTTGCCAGTTGGCCTGGACATTTTCTGTGAATTGCAACCCGAAGTTTCAACAGAGCTTCACAGTATGGTGTAGAATTCACATTTGCACCACGCTTCTGAAAATGGACTAACAGTACACCCTGAGAATTCCAAAACACACTAAGCATAACCTTAAACTTTTTGGTTTAAGGTGAACTGGGATGTTTCCATTGCATTGAAGTATGCTTTGATTTGGGTTGGTAGTGATTCGCCCAGTAATTCTAATGTAACTGTAACTGAGATAGGTACTCCTGAAGTCCATAGTTAGCTGATGTACTCCACCTTTGTACTTCCATTTACTGCTAAATGAATAGTTTGTATGCTGTTTTTGAATGCATATGACGATTCAGATAAGTTTCTAATTACCTGGCGGCTCAAGTGGTTAGTCACTGGCTTCGCACCACGACAGCCCGGGTTTGATCCCAAGTCTGGTCAAGTGGGATTTGTGGTGGACAAAGTGGTGCTGCGGCAGGTTTTCTCTGAGTACTTCGGTTTCCCCTGCTAATCTTCATTTCACCAAATTCTCCATCATCATAATCACCCGGGGCAGGTACAATAGGCCAATCAGTGGACGCTGTGCCGAGTTGACCCAGCTGGACTCCACCCCCTCTAAACGAAAAAAAAAAAAATTGGCAGCTGAGGATTATGAGGGGAGGGGGAAGTGAGTCATCTGAGGTTTTTTTTTATATTATTTGACTTTGTATGTATGAATTTTCACACAAAGGTTCTTCCTATGTTTCTCTGTGAGTCTTCATTTATAAATGTAGATGACATAAGATTCCATGAATTCTGCCATCATGCCTTCGTATAGGGGAAATGAATTATATTCTTGCTGCTTTAATATTGTGCCTGTTTGACCGCAGCAAACGAGACACTGCTGCGAACACTGTTGAGCTACTGTAGCCTGCATGGAGCCAGTGGTGGTGGGCTGGCATCAGTGCGCATGGAGCTTGTGCTGCTGCTTCAGGAGCTCCAGCAAGAGAAGACTCAACAGCAGTTGCTGTCCCCTCTTCCTTTCCCTACAACTCTGCCTCTTTTATCTGCCAGTGTAGCCTGTAACAAGACTGTTGTAGCTGATCCCATCAGACACCTGCAGGTATAGCGTACATGTGTTGATTAGTTATGATTAGTGATGTATTGGAACTTGGTTAAGACACCACTGTTTAATATGTTTCCAGACCTTAAACATTAGAAAAGTTTGGTCACAAAACTCTTCCATGTAATTTATGTACATTTTACCCTTTTAATGGGTTCCATATTTATAAGGATTTTGCTCTTCAGAAACACACAACAAACACCAAAGAAAAAATATTTGACCCATGTAGTGCTGTTTTATGTTAAAATTTACGAAATTAAATTTCAATGTTCAATTTGCTGCTTGAGTTTACAATAAAGTTCAGTAATAAGATGACACTTTTGCTTACCCTCTAAGCACAGTTTACAAGATAAACCTCCTTCTTTTGTTATCTCATTTACATTAATGAGGTATGTTGTTTTCAAAGATAATCTTTGTCACTAACAGCCTTTGAATGATTCATTACCATTTTAAAAGTGACCCTGAAATATATTGTAACATGATGGCTGAGAGCCGGAATGGTGGAGCTGGAACAGACATCCATTACTGAGCAACGGCGCAGTGCTCATGTTTCCATGGCACCAAATATTAACAAAGACTAGTTTCTGTTACAATGAATAGCAGCCAATGATCTGTTGCCAGGTAACAAGTTGCTAAACACGAAATGTTTTGTAGCAGCGGATAACACTTAGAAAAGCAGACCTTTGCTTGGGAATTAACACATGGATTCTGAGACAACGGATTCTTAAAAAACAGTAATGGAACCCTTGGACTTGTTGACTTCTATTCGGACCACGTGGAGGTTATAAAAGGCAGTGCGTTCATGAATTCAGGAGGAGAGAGAGACCGGTCTGAGATTCATGCAGCAGTGAGAGATTCTTCAGACGGCATTCATCGCAAAGACGTAATTCGGGAGTGCAATGCATGAGCTGTTATAATTGGCTATAATTGTAAAGACGTGCCAATAAATCCAATCATCAAGTCCAAATCCATTATTATTAGTCATGCAAACACCATATACATGACAGTGTTTTAATCATAATTAAATAATAGCAAAATACTGTAATGAACCAGTATGTGAGAACAGCATGTTGTGAATTGACTTTCAAAGAATATCATCGATCCAGGAAGCACAGCAGATTTTAATCATTATAATATTGGACATTTAAAATGGAAAAATGGATGACAGTGAATTTAAACCGTGTATATTAAAAATACGTGCATTGAACTTGCAGCTGATGAACTATGTTATATCAGATTTCAGCAGTAAACGGAAATGTTACCAGACAGAAAAGAATTATTGAAAGAAATTAGGATACTGTTGGGAACACGAATGTGTAAAGAAGTATTGGCAGGAAGAAAAGGTCTGCTGTAATAATTGGGACTGGGTACATGAAAAGGATTTGAGATAATTTCAACATTCCTTCCTCTTACTTAAACTGATACATGCACAGGAATTATGTAGGGTTTGTATGCTTGGCATCACAGCCCCACATGTGTGGGACAATTGTATGTTCTGATGAAGCATCTGTAGGTTATTAAAGGAGGCAGTGAAATAAGAGATGCTCCCATCTATTTTTTATTGCTAGTGGAGTGTGACTAAGTCCCTTGTACTGCAGCCACTTCTTGCCTATCGTACCAGCCCCATATGATAGGTGAGGGTGATTGTAGAGCAATTGGTGGAATGAAGATTGGCAGGGGAAACCGAAGTACTCGGAGAAAACCTGCCCCAGCGCCACTTTGTCCACCACAAATCCCACTTGACCAGACCCAGGATCGAACCTGGGCCGCCATGGTGGGAAGCCAGCGACTAACCACTTGAGCTATGGCGTGGCCACTGCTCCCATCTAACATTCCTTCACATGACAGAGTACTCATGGAACTGAGCCCTTCTTGAAGAGCCACCAATTCTGCAGCTACTCAAGAATTTCCCAGCATTTTATGGAACCTGAAGGTTCATTACCATGTTCACAAGAGCCCTCCACTGGCCCCTGTCCTGAATGAGATCAATCCAATCCATACCATCCCATCCTGTCTCTCCAAGATCCATTTTAATATTGTCCACCTACCTATGCCTTGGTCTTCCCAGTGGTCTCTTTCCTTCTGGCTTTCCCACCAATATCCTATATGCAGTCCTCCCCCATTCATGCTACATGCGCTGCCCACCTCAGCTTCCTTGACTTGATCAGTCTAATTATACTTGGAGAAGAGTACAGGTTGTGCAGTGACCAGATGCTTGATTAAAAAGAAGCATGAAATGCTTTAATCTGATCACAATGTGTACACATACTACTTTTGCATGTAATTATCATTGTTTTATATATATTAATAAAGTGAACATCACTTCGGATGATAAATTCCTTGTTCAAAGCGGTTAATTTGAAGAAAGCAGTCTTCTGGGATTTGGCACCATGTATATGTGGTGTTAAGACCACATATACACGGTGCCAAATCCCAGAAGATTGCTTTCTTCATAGTCACTGCCGTGAAAGCCTCAAATCTTACACGGTTAATTTGAATTTGCCTTTTATGACTTAACATCTACAAATTTATCCTCCTCAGTAAGCTTTGTTCAGTTGTTTCCAGAATATCTTACTGGAGGTTGCTGTACCTTGATTCCACAAAATTCTCAAAATATTTAATGAGGATGTCTATTTCTCACACATTTGGAGTGCGGAGGCAGTTTCTTGCCCCCATGGCCGTAGCTATTTTCAGCATTAATGCAGTAAACTTATTTTTAATTACCTGATACATCTGAAGTTGAGCGTTGTAAATTTAAACAAAATATATCAGTTGGCTTGCTTGTTACATTGATTTAAATAATACATTGCAATGCAGTGTTTAGTGCTGACAAGTAGAATAGATAGGGAAATACATAATTTGTACTTTGGGTGGTTAATGACTAGGTAGTCAATTCAGTAATTTTCTGCATCTTCTGTTGATGTTCAGCCATTATGTGATTATTCTTCACTGTCAAGTTATATTCTATTATTTGTTCATAAATAAGTTAAATAATTGATTCACACAGCCACTGTACATCAACAAAAACTATAGAAAATGATATAATTTTAAAGAATGAAGTAGCCGATTTTTGCAACAGGATGCCAAGATGCTTGTGACATGAAAGAACTTTTGTTAATGGATGTTAAGATTAATTATGTTATTTCATGTTTTTCTCACAGGCACAAGCACATGATATGCTGCAGACTATAGTGGAGTTACGGTCTCCACCAGTGCCTTCACGGACACACTTCAGTGAAGTCTTTGTTCTGCGTGACCTTGCAGTAGCTCTTTCAGCATGCATTTACCAGTCCCTCTGTGACTCTGACACTTTCAGTGTGAAACAACAGACTGACAAGTAAGGATCTCTCTTCATTCTTAATTGCAGTAATATACTGAGTGATGACATGATGACAAAAGCTGTTAACATGAATAACATGAAGAGTATTATTGTACATGGTGTGCCTCCATGTAGTCTGGTAGAAGTTTATTCACATTTAGGAGGAAAATACTGTCTCAATCTTTGGTGTTGAAGGCCGAGCCAAGCAAACAACTAGCAACAAGAAAGCGGCAAGCTCCGCTTGCTTGGCTTATTCTTCAACCCTAAGATGGAGACAGCATCTTCTTCCAGAAGTCAGTAAACTTCTAGCGCATTCCATGGCATCACATTCAGGAGATAATATTCTTCATAATCACTGCCATGAGAACTTCATATCCAATATGAATGCTATGAATTCTTTTGCAGTGACTGAAACTTTTTCTTGTGGTATATATAAGAGCTATTCAGAAAGTAACTTCCAGTGAATTGTTAGCAAAACAAGCAATGAGAAAAAACTTTTATTATACACAAAAATGCCTACATACCTAAGGTGCTGGAATTTAGGCATTTGTCATATCAGAGAATTATTTTTATGACTTTGGCCAAGAAGTCTGCTGCTTGTAAGCTCAGCCACATTTTGACACCTTCCATCAACTCTTCATTATTTTTGAAGTGCTGTGATTTCAACTAGTTCTTCAGGTAGGTAAACAGATGGTAGTTGCTCAGAGCAAGATCAGGGCTGTAGGGAGGGTGGTCAAACAACTCCCAGTTGAAATGCTCCAGCAGTGCTTGAGTATGAGCAGCTGCATGTGGATGTGCATTGTCATGGAGGAGCACTACACCAGATATGAGCATTCCATGCCATTTATTCTGAATGGCCCTACCCGATGTTTTTTAGCATTTGGCAGTACACTTCTGACGTTATTGTGGTCCCCTGTTTCGTTAATTCCACCATCAGTACTCCTTTCCTGTCCCAGAGAACAGTTGCCATCAGCTTTTGTGATAGGCAGACATTTCTTTAAACTTTTTCAGCTTGTTTGGTGAATGTGTGTCCATCCACCACTTTGACTGCTCTTTGGTTTCAGCATTCACAAATGAAACCCAAGTTTCATCACCTGTTACTCATATGATGTGACTGAGAAATTCATCACCATCTTTGTGGTATCACTCTAAAAAAAACTAAAAAAACAATGTCATTCTCTGCGTTTTGAGCATTTCTGGAACCCATCTTGCACTAAACTTGTGATAGCCTAACTGTGATAATCTTGTAGAGAACTGTGAATGAAATTTGTGGAAATTCACACAAAAGTGCTGGAATTGTGAAGTGCTGTCTTTCATAAATTTTTGATCAACACCTTGAACAAAATCATCACTCAGTACTTATGGCCAGACACTTTGCTCTTCATTGTGAACATTTGTTCACCCATCTTTGAACATTCTACACCTTTGTCTTACAGTTCTTTCATTCATTACACTTTGGCCCTAAACCGTTATGCATAATTCATAATGGATTTTTGGAACACTCATGATTTCAGCATGAAGAAAGTGGATAACAGTGTGAATTTCGAAGCTGGCAGGATTATCATTCGCAGAACACATCATAAGTCACTTTGTAGATACAAGAAAAAACACTAGGTGATCAATTATGCAATGATTTACAGGTTAGTGTGTCATGTGATGCTACCTTGTATATGCAAGCTCTCCACCGCTCCTACATGATTTGCTTAAAATAAATGGAGGTTACTTTCCAAACAGCCCACATATAATCTTTTGGCACTGTCATAGTTCTTTATATGGTGAATTTTTACAGATAATTGAGTTTATTATAAAATTATAATTGATATTGGTTTTTCAGTCTCAGTTTTGTTTAGATTTTATATGTCTAATAAAAATTCAATGTACTTTTGACATACTTTGTTAATATTGTGTCATGATGCCTGAAAGCTTCAATCTGCCCATCTGCTGGGTGAGGCTTCACTGAGCATGTTCCCATGGCAACACGGAAGGCGCTGCTGCTGGATGGTGGATTGTTGGAACATGTTTCCATGGCAACAAATACGAATGAAGAAGCAATACATTGCAACAGAGTCACATCAATTCCTAGGCAGCACATACAGAAATGAACCCCTAAAGCTCAGTGACAGTGAAGAACACAGTAACTCTACTGTTGAAGGAGGTCATCTCCATACGGTTCAACCAAAACCTACCTCAGGGAGGGAATTGACCAACAGAAGGCAGAATGCAACAAGATAGAATCAAAACCTACGTCAGAAAAAATTAGAAATCAGAGTGGTCTTTATTTTATGTGATGTAGTTACAGTTCATAATTATGAAGTGTTACAGTTACAGTAAGATTGTGTTACAACTAATTGTAATTCTGCCTGGTAAATATCCAGTAAATCACTTCATCCAATCCGGAACTCATTAATTACTTGTTGCATTACCAGGATATGTGACAATATGAAAAGATTTAAGGAAAGCAGGTTACTGCTCACAGGACAGTGGTGTATATAAGTTCAAAATGTTTATGTATATTTTTCAATTTAAGCCTAATTATGTGTTGTGTTATAGCTTCCAGAGTTTTGGTCTGGAGTCCCTAGCACACCTGAATGTTGTTTGTCCAAGTAGTCACTTGATAGCAAGCCATACCCGACGGCGGCGATACAGTAGTGATGAACCACTGCAAGTTACAACTCATCCCTGCAAATGGCCTGGTAAGTCAAATCACTAACTTATTAATGCTACAGTAGCAAAACGTGTAAGTTCAAATACCTCTCATGCCAAAGACTAGCATCGCAGCTGATCCTGAGACAGTAACAATCATTTCATGTCCCCAACAACTTATGTCCATTAGATTCATCTTAATATTATCTTCCATTCCTTTTCACTCTTGTAAATTGTTATTTCTGAAGAGTCCCCACCCCCCAAAATTTTATATGCATAACACATCTGGTCCAGTAAAAATTTTGAAATTTATGGGAGTTGAATACACATTGTATTTGTATTCTTTGCTGTGTGTATGTATGTCTGGAACAAGCCCAGCTGTTAAACATTTGAAATTGAGACTTGAGGTTGTTATGGCTGTGTGTATGGTGAGGTAATGATGGCAGACATTGTTGGAATTGCATGAGTTAAGCTCCGGTTTCTGGGAGTAGAATAAGTGAAGAGAATGGAAGCATCTGTTTGTGTTGTGAAAAATTAATGTTAGAGCTTTGTGCAGCAAAACTGGAACTAAGGTCCTATGGAGAAGTTATAAAATCGTTAACAGGAAAGAATAAGTGAAAAATCACTTCTTATACAGTCCGTGTCAAGTATACATAAACATATTGCAATGGCGAGCAAACTAAAATTTTAACGTCAAACGGCAGTTTGATCAGTGTTACATCTAATGAACATAATAAATCATGATTTTTGGTTAGGAACCTTATACATCTGATCCCACAAATTGTATACAAATATGAACTACTATCTGACCNAGTAAAGTAGTGGGCCTAAGACACTACCTTGTGGTACACCTGATTTTATTGCAGAATTGTTAGATATACTATTATTGATTCTCGTTCTGAACTCTCTGCCATTTATATATGATTTTAGTAAGTGGAAGTAAGTGATGGGCAGATATTTTTTGATTTTGTACAGTAGTCCTGGATGCCATACCTTATCAAAGGCTTGGCTTGCATCGAGGAAGACCGATGTGCAGTATTCTTTATTTTCTAATGCTTGGTGTATTTTGTGTGTTATTCTGTGTATCTGCTGTACAGTGGAGTGGTTTTCTCTAAAACCAAATTGATGTGATGGTATCCATTCTTCTGTATTTGGGTCAGACCTTATTCTTTTTAAGAGAAGTCTTTCGAGGAGCTTAGATATGATAGGTAATAAGCTTATAGGCCGATAGGATGACACATTATTAGGATTTTTGCCTGGTTTGGGGATCAGGATTATTTCTGCTGTTTTTAGTTGATTTGGCCAGTATTTATGTTTGAGAATAGCATTATATATGTATGTGAGAAGTACTAACCCTTTTCTTGACATTTCTTTTAACATTATGGGAGTTACTTCGTCAATGCCCGGTGCTTTTCTTGGGTTTAGGAGTGCTAAGCATCAGAAGATATAGCTCAGAGTTCAAGAAGCTTTAGGTAGAAACGTCAAAAGAAGATACAGAGGGTGAATAATATAACAGGGGAAAAGCATAAAATAGTAATAATTGTAGATAGTCATATAAGAAACTGTGCTTCTGAACTACAACATAACCTAGGTGTAAATCTCAAGAGTCTGAAGTTCTGTAAAATCAGGTTGGGGAATTGGTGTAGTTACAAACACAAAAGATGAAATCAGAAACTCGAAGAATGAAGATGTGCTAATGTGATGTGGGGCTAATGATATAAAGAAAGATAATACAGAATCCAATAAATGCAGAAGAGTTGTCTCAGTTCTCTATTAATAAAACACATCTTAAATATACGATTAAAATATAAGAGGAATAAGAAAGGAAACTAATGAATTACTAAGTCAGGAAAAATATATAAGTGGGACAGTCAACAGTCTGCTATAACCAAGTGAACTGGTATTCACAGAAGTACACCATAGGATGCATAGCCAATTCATGCAATAAACATAGAAACACACAGTGTGATTACATAAAGGTTTTTGTATTGTTTTTTAAATAGTTTTCAAATTATAAAACCTTCTTAATGCCTCAGCATCTCTAAAAATTTACAATTGTACACAGCCAGATTTTGTCTGTTATATCTGAAACCCATTATGTCCAGGTTCATTATAATGAGGTTTGCTATATACATATGCTTTAAAGTCTTGTTGTAGTTGAACAGTACATTAAAAGAATGAAACATGTCTGATTTTAATGCGGTCTAAAATCATAAGGACCTCCTTTTCTTTCCTGTTCTTTTTTTCCATTGTGTCCTGGAGGTGCGTTGAATATAGAAGTTCTGGAAATGTACTCATAACATCACTTTTGATATAATTATCTTGAAAGCCATATGATGTACAGAGTAACTATATTGGACATACAATATATTGTGGCATATTTATGCCATGCAAAACTTGTTGAGCCACAGAAATCTGTAAACACAGCCATTAAGAAACAATAAAGAAAGTGGTGTTTTCTCCATGCCGTGCTGAGCTGCACCATACTAGTAGCTAGGCAGCACTGCAGTAAACATCTTGGCAGCAGCTAAGCAATGCGTTGCTGGGCATTGACTCTGTAGACGCGATGATTACATAACAGTAGAGGAAGCCTTGTTTTCTGCATGTCCATGCAAGGGTTTATAGGAGAGACTGGAATTCGTAAGTTAGTCTGTTTCTCGGTGCTATACAGCCTCGGGAGTTTCATAGTGGAAGAAGACCTGAATGTTTGATCTGAAGTTTTTATGAGTGCTATAATGCAGTGATATTGGGAGTGTGTGGTTCAGTGAGACGTTTATAGCTCCCATGTTATAAATACATGAAAACTACTACAGATAGACTGAGAAGATTAGTGTGTAGTGATTGTAAATTGAGTAAACCTGCAAAAGTGTAATAATTAAGTGTAGTTACAACTAGTGAAGATCCAGTAAACCAATTACCAATCCTAACACCCCCCCCATCTCTAGTCTTATCTACATGGCGCCACATCCCAGAAGACTGGTTTCTTCAAAGTCACAGTTGCGTCATTCAACTTCTTATCTAATTCTTTATTCATTAATGAATCTATTGTTTGATGTTGTAATAATTTGATCTGTTGAAAACACCATTAAATAAATCATAAAAAAGGGAATGCAGTGAGCAAGATTATGTGTGTTCTTGATTTCATTGTAGTATCTCTTGTACTTGTTGGTCTGCATTTGAGATTTGCATGGTAAAACTTTAGAAAAACACATATTTTATACAAAATATTTGTTTATTCCTAAGTACTAACACCATGACCATTCCAGTTCAAAGATTCTCATGTTTCCTTTTTGAAATGAACACCTGCTGAATGGTATTCCTTCACTAAAATAAATTAAAACTCATCTACGCAGTTTTTACATTGGGACAAGCCCCTCATTTACCTTGATCTTTTGTTAGCCTTTCTTGTTAGTTATCGTTCTTAACTGGACAGTCTGTATCATAGAGTTCAGTACTGAAAGTTCTGTCACAATTACAATGTTTTAGGAGTGACGAACCTCAGAGCCTTATTAGCACGAGAGAAGGATGAGGACACACCACGCCTTAGTGTTCTGTTGTGTGAGGCATTTGTTGCGACATACATGAGTCTCATTGTGTATGCCCTTGCAACATGTGATTCCCTTATCCTGTACCGACTTGCAGGGCAAAAGTTTAGCAATCAAACATGGGCAATGCTCTTTGGTGGTGGAGTCAAGAAACTTCTTAAAGTTGCTGCAAGTAATAATTCTGCCACACAGGTGAGTTTTATGTGCCAGCTGTTTTTGAGTGTAAATTGATGAATGAATTCAGACAATCGAGCAAAGTAACCAACGTATGCAGAAGGCAGAGATTTTACTTCTGTTTCTCTCTCTTCGTTTTTTATTGCTTACAAATTAAATACAATTTAAATATAACATGAATTTTTAAAGGTGAGACCACAGGAGTAACTTACATGCTTGTGTAAAGCCTCAGTTTATCTCACCATTGGACCATGTCTTTTTAGTACATGCTTGCATTTAATGTTTTGGAGTGAGTCTTTCTTTCATATCTTCAACTGTAACCCTCTTCTTCCCTTATCCCCCTGTTTGTCTATCCTGTCATCATTTCTGTGGTTCTCTTTTGTTTCTCTCCCCTTTGCATTAAACAAACATCACCCTCTTTCTCCATTTCCTGTATCTCTTTTTTATATACTTTTATGTCTTTCCCTCCATTCTCTTGCATTCTTTCTGAATTCTTGTAATAATAATGTTGGTATCCCTTACTTCCTCTCATTTCCTTTGCATCAGTTTATGTAAACATCACTGGCTGTTTGGAAATAATGCCATCCATCAGACAGTGAGAGTAACTATGTAATCTGTGAGCACAGAGGTCATAAACTGGCCTTTATGTCTTACATATTACTCAGTGCATACTGCTATGCTTTGTGATGGTGATGTCTGTTACCTTCTTTAGTAGCTGGGGTCTAGACTTTAGATTATGTGCTGCATGCGTTCCTTACTGTTAACAGCTATGAAACTTCCATTCACCCAGTCACTGTGTATTGTATATAATGCTCAATACCTTAGAATTCATAAGGTACAAAGCTAGTAAGTTGGCTGCGCCATAGCTAAAATGGTTAGTCGCTGGCTTCCCACCACGGTGGCCCGGGTTCGATCCCTGGTCTGGTGAAGTTGGATTTGTGGTGGACAAAGTGGCACTGGGGCAGGTTTTCTCCAAGTACTTTGGTTTACCTTGCCAATCTTCATTCCACCAAATTCTCCATCATCATAATAATCACCCGGGGCAGGTACAATAGGCCAATCAGTGGCCGCCGTGCCAAGTGGAACCAGCTGGACTCCACTTCCCACTAAGTGAATTAAAAAAAGTAAAAAAAAAAAATCTAGTAAGTTTGTGATTCATGTAAGTGGATCAGTAAAACTGGGTACAATGAAATCAGTTGTTTTTTTCGTCGTGTTATGTGAGGTACAGGAGCTTTCGATTCAACAAAGTAAATTGAATTTTAAAAAATATGTTAAAATCAATAAAAATACAAGTGGTTTAATCAATTTCATTCTCATTCAACCCCTATTATACACCCCTGCTATGCCACATTTAACAAGTCCAGCAGTATACTTCACCTACACTGTTTTAACCTTTTTAATAATTTAAGGAAAATCACTATAATGTGTTTTATATTTTGTCACCTAATACACTGACATTTTTCGTTGTAAAAATGAATCCATTTAACTCTGATATTTAGTAATAATGTAATTATTTTTTTATTTACAAATCACCAGATGATGACCCATGCGATTGAAACATGTAATGGTTGAATGAGACAATAAAATTGAACAAACTGTTAATATTTTTATTGACTTCAATCTATTTCATTAAAAATTTTGTTAAAATTTAATTTACTTTATTGTTGTCTCAACAGCCTTCATAACTTCAGTTCCAGTTTAAATAAATTTCATAATAAACTTACTACAAGGTCATATGAAAGTAGTTGATCCATTTCTTTGTGTTTGGTAATGGTGATTAGTCACAAGGCAGCTTGGAAAGAGAGCCAAGTGGTGGTAGTGAAGGAGGGGTTTGGACCACCATGACAAGTCTCACAAAGCAGCGAGTGCGTCTGAATATGAAACTTCTTGGACAGTTCACTAGCCAGCCAGGGACACCTCTTATGAAGGAGGACAAGCCCACATACAGGGAGCAGTTTGTTCCACCTGAAATGTCCATGGTTTCATACTTCCTCATTAAGGTAAGTTCTGTGACAGATCACTAAAAAGTAGTGCCAATTTTTCTGTTTCAAGTGTCACTCACCACATTATCCCGTAACAGTTGGACGAATAGGCCGTGTCTGGAATAGTTGCTGTGGATTCCATGTTTGCAAAGCTGATTGCCCAAAAAGACTTTGTTTCAGAGCTATTTCTGTTTCCGGGGCCTTCCCAAAAGGTAAAATGCACACATATTTTAGAGATGTCCTCTGAATTTACATAATACAATTTCAGCCACAGTTACCAGCGGAAGCCGAATGTGTGGACTATGATTCTGCTGATTCAGCTGTGAGTGACCTGGATGATGAAGAGGAGGAAGAAGATGTTTTTGAAGGAACTAGCACAAATCCCAAAGCTCCAGACAGGGAGAACACAGAACACTCGAACCCCAGCAGCTACTCATGGTGTGTAATGAGGCTCGCCATTATGAAGCTAGTACAGCATCAGCTACAAGATTTTCTTAGTGTTGCAGGAATTGAGATGCAGGGTGAGCAAATACAAATGCAATTTCATTCTGATTAGCTTATGACATTTTGTGGTTTCAGTGACTAAAACTGTTCTTTCCACATTCTTGCTAACTTTTCTTTTGTTGTTGTTGTTGTTGTTGTTGTTGTTGTTAAAGCATTTCAGAGTTTTGATTTTAGGCATGGTTTCTATTAGTTCTTTTAATACTGTTTCTGTTATTATGTCAGTATGTTATTCTTAAAAATTTGAAAAGGAAAGTTGTGAAAAGCTCGTTAATACAACAAACTACATTAATGTAATGTTTTATGCTGCTGCAGCCCTACGGGTTCTTTCTGCATTGCAGTGGAACCCCCATTTAATGTTTCTTGACCTACCTGTTCAGTGTTCAGTTTCAGTAATCTAATTCTTGTGTTCAGATATATGACTCCATGAAGAAGCTTCAAATGGGGGTTTTCCTATATATGGGACTGCCTCTGTAATATATGTATAATTTTTTAGGATTTTTGTAGATAGTATATACTTATATCCTACCTTATTTCATATTTGTAGATGCACTGTATTTGTTATTCACTGATACCATGTCACTCTCTTCCCTCTTCCAGTAGTCTGCCTCACTACCTTGAAACGCTGTAAAGACTACAGGTTTCTGAGCTGTGACACTGTATATATTGGTAGAATATATATGAGACAAACTCCGTCTTAAGTGCAACAATTTAATTGTAGTTCTTTCTTCTTTCCTTCCTCCACACTACATGTTTCGGTCCTAAATGGCCATCATCAGGTGTGTATTCTTACGTAGCTGCTACACTGCCCGTAGTTTAAAATTTAAAATCACCAGTCTTTCCAATTGTATGTATGTATAAAATCTTTGTTAACCTACACGTGTCAATATAGCAGCTACGTAAGAATACACACCTGATGATGGCCATTTAGGGCCGAAACATGTAGTGTGGAGGAAGGGAAGCAGAAAGAACTACAATTAAATTGTTGCACTTAAGACGGAGTTTGTCTCATATATATTGTGTGAGTGTAACAGGATGCTTAAATGTAATATTGTAATATTGGTAGAAGTTTACTGATGTCTCAGAAGGGCGTGGCACCTTCATCATCAGGGTTGAAAAGTAAGCAAAGCAAGTAAACAAACTTACTCTTCAACCCTGAAGATGGAAGCAGTATGTTCTTCTGGAACAATGGTAAGCATCTGCCAGACTACATGGCACCACATCCCAGAAGACACAAATCCCATTTAACCATTGAAACATCACGTAACAGTCACAGACTGCTGTATACTTTTCTTACCCATTATTGACTACTGTTTATTACTGGGTAATGATTTTTATGCAAATTATCACAAAAAGAAGACAGCTCATCTGCCCAGAAAACATTCACCATGTATTTTGGTTTGTAAACTCAAAAACATTGACTGTAGCATGTTAATTCATAACAACGAAAAAAATCCACAGATTTTCCGACTCCTACATGCAATGGGAAGAAAGTCTGATTCTTGCGTAAATATGTATTTTCCATCATGTGACTGGTTTATCTAACTGAAACCAGTAATATGCATTGGTGAATATGAAAGCAGAACAAGCAATAGTCAAATCTAATCATATTAATAAAAGTAAACCAAATTAATAAAATGTCATCATGTTATAAGTACAATAGGAAATAATTGTCATCAAAACAGTAAGCATAAAATTGTATGAGATTAGGGTTTTCACATTCATTTCGTCTGTGTGAGATGTGATGCCATGTAATTTGGTAGATGAGTACAGATATTTTAGAGGAATCTGGTGCCTCCATTTTCAGTCAGCTCTGCAAATGGAGGCAGGGTTCCTCTGAAACGGTAGTGCCCATACACCATACTGGTTGGTTACATATCTCACAAGATTGTAAGTTTATGGAAAATCATGTAACCCTCTGTGAAAGTGTATGTTATAGGAGATCTTTTGTTTTGTGTGTGTTTGATAGTAATGAGTAATGGTAGAATTGTAAAAGAACCAAGCCATTTAAATTGCAGGAATATATAAATTCTATTATTTACATGTGGTGTTTCACTGTACAATGTAACCCATATTTAATATTCCTCAATTTAAAGTTTTCCCTCAATTAATGTTCGGTTTCAGTGACCCTCAAGTCAGTAAGGCCACTCTTAAAGTATTCCCATTTTAGATTTTAATCAGTTTAATGTTCAAATTTGCAGGTCCCCAAAGAAACCTTAAAACATGTGTTTCACTTCTTAGTTTCAAATTCACGTGGTCAAGTAAGTATTATCAGTAAACATTCTCATGTAAATGAATTCAGGTGCATTTTATGTAATTTTTTTACTAAAGAGAGTGTGTTTATGGTACAGACCTCTCATGCTAATAACACACTGTTAATTACTTTGTCCCCTCGTTGGTGTCTCCACCTTATCGTGGTGAGGGTGTTTGAGTATGCCAAGGACCCTGAGAGCTATACCAGCGGTAGCGTAGCTACTGGCAGGGCCTCCCTTGCTGGACAGGTCAAAGGGTAGGCATCAGACGAAGAGAGAGACCGAAAACTGATGCCGGAAGCAGCGTCATCAGCGGCGACTTGAAGCACAGAGAAAATGATGCTCGAGATGGTTCAAGTTCGTATAGCAACAGGCGTGACCAGAGTGGTTTGAACGGCTGTTGTACTGCGATGTGGAAAGCAAATGGAAAAACTACCACATTATCTCTATTCCTGGATAGTCTCGTTCCAAAAACAGAAGATCGCATTAAGTGGAGAAACTGTTTTGGAAGAGGCTGTGGACCTGTCATCTGACAGATTACTGATGAATGAATGAATTGCTTTGTCCACAGAGTTACCTGTGTGCAGTCCACTGATCCACAGCACTCTGCGTGTTGTGACCCAGTGGCAGGATATGCTGAATGAAGAGTTGGATTTGCGTAGGCCTCCCCCTGCTGACTACATTCCTGGTTGCTTTGTGGAGACCAGTGCTTCAGGCCCAGCCATCCACAAGTACCGCTCCCTCTTAGAGAAGTGCAACACTCCCTTCCAGTGAGTCTGTCAATATTATTTATTTTATTGAATGTTGGAACTATAACATCTATGTAGTTTGTTGTGTAATTTTACATTTCATACTTTGCAATTAAGCATATGCATACTATGACTATAGTAGGGTTGCCAGCAAGAATTTTAAAATACGTAATAATCTCATAATTATTTGTTGGTGGTCACAAAGCATGTGGCGATGTCCACTTTATGAACTAAATCTTTCTCAGGTTCCAAGGAATTCTAAACATGTAGATGTGGCAGATGTCTCATTAAAGCATACATTTGGGTGAAAATGGCGATTTCTGTAGTAAAAATTACTTTTAATTTGTTAGGTACTTTTTCTCTCAGGGCATACAGTAGTGTAGTTGGTTGAGGCGCTGTGCTACAAGACAGAAGGTCATGGGTTCAAATCTGAATGAGGTCATTGGATTTTTCAATTATGTAATCCTTCCAGCTGCACTGTGGCCCTGGGGTTGACTCAGCCTGTAGCAGAAATGAGTACCAGGAATCTTCCTTGGGCTTAAGGCGTAAGGCTGACAACCGGACATCTGTGAGCCTATTGTCTAGAACTTGCGGGAACCTTGACCTCTCAGAATCTTGTGGGCCTCCATGGCATGTTACAGGGATAGCTTTACCTTCACCTCTCCCCCCCCCCAAGTAAATGTCTCAACTAATCCAATTGCTGTGTTCTGTCTATGCAGCTCTAAAAATATATATCCATTCAATTGTTTGTGAAGAATCAGTACATGTTTTGACCATCAAACTGGTCATCATTAGGTGATACAATACTTGCAAAACGTTTTTTGCAATGGTTGCAATTCAAAAACACATGTAAGTATTGTATCACCAGATGATGACCAGTTTGATGGTCAGAACATGGAGTGCTTCTTGATAAACAGTTGAATGGATGTACGTTTGTAGATTTGCGTGGACGGAACACAGCAGTGGGATTAGTTTGATCATGCAACAGGATGCACTCTGTAACGAATAAATGTCTTAATATGAGAACACAGATGTAACGCTGTAGTCCATCCCTCGTGTTATTGGAAATGATAAAATTTGAAAAAATGCTCATTCTAATGTGGATAGTTCTAATATCTGAAAAGTGATGGATTTATTGACCACTTACACACCTGACGCGGAACTGGAAGCAATTACAGCGCCTCTGCAAATCTCCACAATTCAGAAATTACCACAGCACATGCTAAGTCTTTCCCAGCGTTCTTTGTGTTCATCAGCCATTCCCTGTCAGCATCTTCTAACAATGGAGATTCTTTAGCTCCACACACTCACATCCTATCTTCACAGCTTCCCATACCGAACTCAACTGACCAGGTCGCTCTAATTGTCTTCAAGATGACCCTTTGGCACAGACCACACAGAAGTACCCCATTTCCATTGTTGTAGTCCAATTGTTGCATTATTAAGAATTCGCTGCCTAGCAATAGGAACATGTTTACACAGTCACTGCATAGCAGCACGTGTGTATGCCACACTATTGTCACATGAAGGAGTGACTGTAGATGGGGTTTGGATTGGTAATTGGATTTATTGAACAATTACAGATTGTAATTACAAGTAACTATAGCGCTATCACTAATTCACACTCTCAGCAATTCACTACAGCACACACTAAGTCTTCTGAGACTGCTGTATCTTCACCGATTGTAGCTCGGTAACGGCTCCCAATGCTGTACTTTCCTCAGCTTCTGTGTTCACAACTTGCTGGCTGGCAACTGTCTCACAGCTAACTAAACTCTAGATTTGTCCTGCTTATAACACCTCTGTATGGACCACATAGAAAATACCTCTCCCAACAGTTCTTCTGTTGCGTCACGTAGCTGTCACACAGACTAGAGAGAACACTGCTTCCTGCAGACCTCCTATTGTTGCATGACGTGTTCCTCTGCTGTGTGTGCAATCATTGTTATGCTGATAAGTTTTTTACTGTGCTGTAACCCAGTAACTGCTGTCTGCATTCTACATTTCTCCTTCCTTAAGGCTAATCATCCCAAATAGCCCACAGGCTTACCACTATTTCTTCTTTATTGAGGGCTGTGCTGATGATGTCCGTGGTGTACCACCAGCATCCTCAGTCTAAGGTAAAATCGTCCATAGCTGTCAAGAGGTATCAGTATCCTTGGTTGCTTCATGGGAAGGGCCCAGCTACATCAATGGCCAGCTTATGAAACAGAGCCATGACATTGTACTGATGCATTTGGCCGAGATTCCTGGTCCTGGGAGCTGCAACTGGCTGCACAGGTGTCGCATAGCTGGCACCATTTCTCAACATCATTTCTTGCCTGGAGCCAGTATACCTTCACAGGATCTTATTTAGAGTCTTGTTGACATCCAAGTGACCTCCTGACAGTCCACCATGTAGTTCAGTCAGCACGCCGTTCACTCTGCTCCAAGAGGGAATTATCTGGAATATTTTTGATCGTTTGTCTACAGATTCCCAATGGCCATCTTGTATTCTGCCTCACAGCAAAGGATTTCCACTAGGCCCCATAGCTTTTGTATGTGGGGCTGCTGTCGGCGATGTCTTTCCATTCTAGGCACTGTCTAATCTGGTATTTGTTTTAATATTCACACTTAAATTAATCCATGATTGATTTCTTCCTCATCCATTCCAGTTATTCACTGTCATCATAACCACAGTACATTGTATAGTCTCAAACACTGGCAGCATCAGTAAGTAAACCACAAATACATAAATATTTAATCTTTAATGTACAGCATTTACGTCTTGCAACTGGAATAATACTTCATTTAAGGACTAGTATTGAAATATAAATTGAATCGTCCTAAACTTGTTTTGCAGACCAAAACATGCTTCAGCGGCTCCAGTTCGGCGATTGTGGAGCTTTCTAGTGAGGCAAGAGCAAGTGCAGGACATTTTTATCAGAGCGGTTTTTGGAAAACGGAGATCTATGTCATCTACAATGGACACCCCCTCTGCAACAGATGGAATGAAAATGACTGAAGACAAAGGGTCAGACTCAGGAACCTCATTGCCAGAGCCTGTTAGGATCATCCACAAGGAACAGGACTCCATCTCTGCCTTCTGTCTCAACCAGGTGCCAAACTGATGTGTGTGATTTACTTCTTAATACAGGACAAGTTAAACGGTATTTCCTGGATGACAAGGGCTTGATTCCATGCAGGGCTGACCCATCTGAACTGGCTCATTGGTGTGCTCGACCTCCTATCCGGTGAATACGTGGGGCCCTTTACCTAGGGATAAAGTCAGACAGTGTGTGAAGCTTATCATTCTTTTTCATCTAATGCTGGTCATGAATGTGTCTGGATCTTTGCTGCTGTATCTTTTATGTTATTTTATTTGTGGTACTTAATTACAGGGAGGGGCACTGTGCGACAAGCTGGAAGGTCATGGGTTCGATTCCCAATTAGGCTGTTGGATTTTTCAATTGGCCTAATCCATCCAGCTGCACTATGGCCCTGGGGTCAGCTCAGCCTCTAACAGAAATGAGTACCAGGAATCTTCCTGGAGGGTAAAGGACAGCCAGGGCATAAGGCTGACATCACCACCATCTATCAGTCAATTGTCTGAAAATGTGGGAGCTGTGACATTTCACAAGCATTTGGACCTTCATGGCCCAAAGGCATATCTTCATCCTTACCACATTCGTGCCTCTTATATTTTATGTTAGTCTTTCAATGGATCCCCTCATGTGAAAGAAAAGTTTTTCAGAATTAGTGTTCTTGTAGATTACACGTATGACTGGCTGGAATAAAGTAGCATAAAATGTGAAGTGCCTCTTAAGACTGTATTGTGCAAATAAGTGTTTCCTGCATTTTCAGATGATGTTAATAAACCATGCTTGAGGCAAGAGCCAACATGGCACAGGAATATTTGTAGCCTTCGCCTAAGATTTGATTTGAATATTGTCTGAATACTGAGATCAAGTGGTTAACACTCTTTCTTCATGTTCAGAAACTCCAAGGGTCAAGTGCCTGGCTCAAAAATTAGATATCCAGCTGTTTTCATGGTTTTCTTCAGTCATCTAAGGAAATCCAAATTAGGCCATAACAATTTCCACATCATTTTCAGTCCCATATTCTCTAATTATCAGTCTATCACTCATTGTTACATAATCTTAGCAATTGAAAACATTGTTAAATAAGACAATAAGTAAAGAAATAGGACTTCTTAATGTTATCATGTAGTTTCTGTGCAGTATATGTGTGTGGTGTTTTCCTGTTGAAAGATCACAAACATACTCCTCTTTTTTAGAATTTCTCACAGTGGAAGATCTAGAGGGTGAAGAATATGAGAATTTGGAAATTAAGCAAAGTCTGGTATAGCAAATCCAAGGTTGTTCTGACTGCAGGAGTTGTAGTACTATCTTGCATAAACCATTACGTTCTCGTTGACAAATATCTGTCTCTGACCGAATAGTCATCAAGAGAGAATGTCAGCAGAAGTGCCTGGTATAGCCAGAAGATCACCATTTTTGTTCCCAAGAAAGTGTGGACAAATGATTGTATATCATGAAATAACTTGCCATTTTGTTAGTGTTGCGGTATGCACTGACCTCACCTGTACTGGACATTTGGCCAGTAATTTTTCTTCTGATGCAATCTTTCCTGTATGAATGGAAGAAATGCTCCATATGTTCTGCTTTTGTGGTCACGTATACACAAGAACGTTGATATTCTCTGACATTTAAAATGTATATCAGTCACATGCTTGCTTGTAGGAATGTGTGCTTTGTACTATAACGGATATTGTAGGTACTCTAGGGAAAGAATAATAGCTCTAGTGTAAAGACCAATGCAATTTCTGTATGAAATTGTTAAAACTACACTTTGCCAAGAATGTTTAATCTCAGTAACTTAAAAATTCTTTAAGACAGAGAGTTGACATAGCAACAAATTATGGGCTTGATTCCCAGCAGTGCAAGATTTTTCTCTTCTCCACAGCTTCCAGACTGGCTCTGGGCCCCACCCAGCCTCCTATCCTGTGGGCACTGGAGACTTTCCCCAGGGTAATGGGTCAGGGGCATGAAACTGACCACTCAACTCCATCTAGTGCCGAGGCCTAGAAAGGTGGAGCTATATCTCCACTCCCCATATATGTTCATGGCATGGTCCTTAACTAGTTAAGCACAGGGATAGCTTTTTTTTCCCCTTTGCCATCATACTAAGATAGTGAATGTGACAGAATAACAATATGCACAAAGTGGTATTACTATCTAAAGGAATTTTTGGTGATAGTGACTCAAAGGTGTCTTCCTCTGCAGCCATCTCCTATTCATATTCATAAGCATTAACAGCTAAGGGTGTACCATACATGATGATAGGTAACAGAATATCAAGCATTAGGCTTTTAAGTAAAGGCAGTAGGCTGTAATTAACCGCCTCTCTGGTCTAGTGGTCAGAGTTCCTGGCTACAGATCCAGATGTCTGGGTTTGATTCTCTGCGCTACCAGATTTTCTGAGAAATAGTGGGTCTGGAACGGGGTCCATTCAGCCTCGTGAGGATAATTGGGGAGCTATTTCAAGGAAAATGCTGTTCCAGTCTAGAAAACTGACATTAACGGCCGTGGGGATCCGTTGCACTGACCATGCGACACCCTCTATCTGCTAAAGTTGGCACTAACTTCGCCAACAAGAGGCAGTCAGTCGGGCAGTATAGTTCGCTTGCGGACTAATACCATGGAGTTTTTTTTAGTAGGCTGTGATTATATTGACTGAATTTAGTGAAGACTCCTGCTATGGCATGTTGAAGATCATCATGAAATGTAGTACAGACATCCCTTGGATTTCATGATGTCTGTGTTTTTCAGTTTATATGCTGTGTGGTGTTTGGTTTTATATAGGCACAGTCTTGTAATTAGTGTACACACAAAAGAATGGCTGCTGCAACAAGAGATTCACTACGTTAGTGCCTAGACAAGCCAAATTGATGTTCTTTAAACTTTATATTGAATATAAGTACCAGCTTATTCTGGCACATGATGGGTTAGTACCCTGAAATACAACTTGACTGGTTCCTTCTTGGTTTCTTTCCGGTTTATAGTACTTACCTATAATTTTTCCACGTTTCCACAATACATGTAACAAAACTGTAGAATCAGTCACTAAAACTGATCAGGTTGATAGAAATTAATTTATTTATGGCTCATTTCTAGGTGAATGCAGGCTTGTTGGCTTTAGCTACACCACGAGAAGTGCAGGAGATGGACATTACGTTATTGTTGGAGCTGCCATCATGGCTGGAGGATGAATGTGAATTTGACATCATGAATCTTACACGGTTAGCCATTCTTATCAGTTTAGTGATATTTAAATGAATTGTGAAATAATGCTGTCACTGCTGAGAATTGTTGTGTTCATGTGTACAGTAATATATATGAGCTTTTAGTATAATAAGAACTATTTGTAATGAGAAGTCATATTCATTACCAACTGAAATGCTCTTCAGATGAAGTTCAATATATATTGTCGTGTATTGGGTGTATATCGCGACAAATAACTTCACGCCGTATTTTATATAGCGAATTTTATTTCACATTCGCACTTACAATCACCCAAATTACAGATTTACGATTACTGCTATCTGCAGTATCACAAATAGTACACTCCAAATGCCACAATACAACTGACTGGTTGCTGGCTA